GCTGGGGGCCATATTATACAATAAACAATACACATGATCCAGCACACTCTCCTATCTACTAAACATCAACTTCAATGTTGACAGATTTTTTTTTTTTTTTTTTTTAAATACCTAATCTAGGCAACAAATAATGGGGATTTAGTTACATTTTACGATCATACATTGCATAAGCCTGCCACAACGTCAATGTACCCCCTACTCTCACAGTCTAATGTCTACTCTTATGTGAATAAAAAAGTAAAGTATCGAAATGCCAAACTTTCCAAAATATGAGTAAAGTTAAGTGAAAAAGAAAATCCAACACAAATTTATATTGTATTTATTTATATCTACATATTTGAAGTACCATGTGCCCCAACTGTCCTGATTTAGGTGGGACCATCCTCATAATGGAGCTCTGAACTTGCCGTCCCACCAAGACAGCATCTTGTCCTGATTTTCCTTGTATCAGATAACATTTATCAGTGTGTATAATACTTGGCTGGAGGCAGTAGCAGTGTTACTGCTGTAAGAGAGGATGGTCTCATTTTGTCTGCTTGCTTCCGCTCGGACAGGGCACAGCCGTGGGAGAGAGTGGGGCATGATGTCACAGGGACTTTCTCAAAACAGAAACCAAGGAGGACTCTGGAGACATTCTGTCCTGTTGCACTGTGGTCACCTGATCCGGGTGTCCTGACAGGATCACTCATTTTGTATTATTGGTGATGTCAATTACATGCCTATTTAGCACCACCAATGTATGTCCCTATTTCTTATGTTGAGAGGTATGTGTACTAACATAACTATGTATCTTGTGTGTCAAATAAGTATAGTTTTTCACTAGAGGTAAGTGTCTTGCATGCTAATTACTGAGGCTGCCAGTTTCTTATAAGTGTTTCAATTAGCTTTTTCTTTGATGTGAACAGTGCCATGTGACCTTTAACCTTTATTATTATTAGATGAGTTTAAAGGGACACTATAGTCATCAAAAAAACATTTGCTTAATAAAGCAGTTTTGGTGTATATATCATACAATTCTAGTCTTACTGCTCAATTATTTGCTATTTAGTAGTTAAAGGGACATTATAGTCACCAGAATGTTGTAGAATTATTAGGCCTCTATAAATTTGTAAGGCCCCTTTAAATCCTCTTGCTATACCTCTAAGAGGCCCCCATAGTTTTACAAGGAAGCTTTGTCTATAGAACATAGAATTTGCATGTCAGCAAGAAATAGCTTTGATAAAATGTGTATTTACTAAAATCCTTGAAACTTAACCTTGAGAAACTAACAAGTGCCAGCTACGCTCCAAATGGATAGCTGCCAAAAGGCCCCTCCCGTCGAGTGAGCTCCTCATTTTAGCAAGATGGCGCTAAAACCTGTAGGAGTTAAGAAATTACGTAGATAGTGACCTAAGAATGGGGAGGGCATTTTACTAACATCTTAGCACCTAAGCCAATTAACAATGTCTATTTGTCTATATCTTGATTTTCTTCAATGATGTAATAATGCCTTTATAAGGGTCTGCGCACCCATTTTCTGTCAGAAGCCATTAAACTTCTCTGAAGTTCTTTCATTACCCTGAACCTTGTGTCTCAGTGTGAATTTACTTCTGCGTGCACGCAACTTTATTATCTTTAATTTGGACAGGAACAGATAGTCATTCAAACTAATTGGTTTGCAGTAAATCATCTAGAACAATTGGCGCCCAACGTGGGGCTCTGGGCTATGTCCAGTCTGGGCAGCTGTCCAAGAAGACGCTGGGGGGGCTGAATCCTGGGGGAAGGAAAAGAGCCTGATCACCTCTGAATACACGGTAGAGATTGCTGCAGCACCTAGCCGGTATGTTCCTACCCCTGTGATTGACCTGCCCCAGTGTCTGTGACTGCTGCCGAGAGGACATCAAAGTCAGGTAATAACTTGCCCAGAGTCTTTGTATTGTTAATGATACCTAGTTTACCTGCATGTTGACTATCTGTTGCCTGGGTGTGTTTGTATTGGTATGTGTTTAACTTAGTACCCGGGGAGTGTAAGTGCCTGTTTAACCCCTTTTAGGTACCACATGCCTGTGGTAGTAAGGAAAAAGGGGGGTGGACCTGTGGAAGTTTTCCTGGGGGTCCTCTATTGCCTGTTTAACTCTTTTAGGAGCCACGTGGCTGTGGCTGTAAGGAAAAAGAGTAGGGGGAATCTGTGGAGGATGATGTAGACTCATTGCTTCCTGGGGGTTCCCCAGAGTGTCATTTTGACCGCTTAGCTAGCCTCATCAGACACTTCTTCTTGGTAAAATTCCAGTCTCAAGCGCTGAGACAGGTAAGATTCCAATTCTTTAGGCTATACAGGATTCGGGTTGGAAGCTGTTGCTGTTTCCTGTGGCTGCTGGTAGTGAGACTTGCGGTTGGGTCCGCAACAGGGACACTACGAGGTTGAGGGAGGTGGCTTTTGGCCACACGAGTAAAGGCAAGGGATAAAACTGTTGAACTTATTTGAACTGTGATGCATTCACTGTATTTACACTGAAATGTTATTGTCTTAATTGTCTGTCACACAGATTCCTGTGTTTACTTCTATCTTACTCACTGTACTATTTACACTTTCCCCTCCTATTTCTCTTTCTCTTTGTTGAGAGAAGTGATTGGTCACACACTTCTCGCCACGCTCCAATCCGCGGCTACCACGGGTAGGCGGAATCAGTGACTAGTCTACGTTTTGGGAAGACGTACTTAAAGAGCTTGCTCTTAAAGTAGCAGTCGAGCACGGTAGACGTTCTGTTCCTTTCTCTCTCTATATCTGGGACGCCTTATATAGGGAGGATGGGACAGAAGTTAGATAAACCCAGTAAGGGTTGGTTAGCATGTGATCTAGTGGAAGACAGAGAAGGAGAAGAGATGGTTAAGAAAGTGAGGAAGATTGCTAAAGTATGTGGAATTACCGTACCTCTGTGCGGCAGATTGTAGCCAGAGAGCTGGCGTAAGTTACTGACAGAGAAGAAAGAGAAGCTGTCGGACCAAGATTTGGTTTGTACAGCAGAAGCCTGGTACCGAGTAGCAAGAGCTATTCAGCAAAAGGGATAGGTTGAGGAAGATATTGATCACAAAGGTTTAAGATTGTATGTATATCATAATAATTGTGTTACTGGGAAGTTATCCCAGCCAGTGCCCTGTCCAGGAGGTGACCACTTCCATCATCCTGTCAGTAATGACCGAAATGTAGCTGACCATGGTCACCATCCCACCCCAATCTTAAAACGCTGTGGGGTTTTTGTATTTTGTGTTAGCCATTACCCTGGTAGAGGGTGGGGGTTTAAATGAAATGTTGTGTTTTTGTGTCTCTTTGCTTTGTAATGTAATTGTCCTTCTGTCTTGTTACTGTACAGCGTTGACATGGTTAAATTCGTGCTGGCAGGCAGTCTCTCTCTTGTTCCACTCAAATCCCCCTCTGCTAAAACACCCCCCCCTCCCCTCGCTTCTGTGAGACGCGGGGGGGGGAGGGGGCGGAGGGGGGTGGTGACATGCTTGCGATTTAGGTCTGTCTCTTCGGTGTTCTGTAGAGTTATTCAGAAGCTACTGATAAGAGTATAAGGTACTGAGGATTGTGGGAGTGACGAGCTCACAAGATTGCATTCAGTGTTGAATACGGGATTTAGGAAGGTGTAGAGGGAATATGCGATGTTGTTAAGTCAGTATAAGAGGAGGAAAGTGATTAATGGTTTGAGGAAGATAAGGGAATTTGGTTGAATTCCGCGAGTTTATTTTGCATCATTTTATTATTTTAAAGTTATTTTAAAGTACATGTTTCTAGAAACAGCTGTATGGGCTGTTAAATGCATAATGTTCTCAACTGTCTTATTTAACCTGCCAGGTCTGTTCATAGTTTAGTATTCCATTTTGCAGAACAGAATGTTGCTTCTCTGACTTATTTTAATAGTTATAATATAGTGTATGGTTGAAAGTACATCAACCACCACCCTAAAGATGGCGCCTGCCAGTCCCGTGACCTATCCACAGTCACGGTTGCTTCTAAAGTAACGTCACTTCCGCCCTTACCATGCCCACACCTCCTGTCTTCCTTTCCCACACATATCATGGACGTCACCCCTCTCACTTCCTCCCTTGCTGTCATTTCCTTCCCCGCCCCTGTCATGGCTGCCTCCATCATGAGGCCTACCCCTATTATGCTCGTCCCATTTAGATAATTACTAAAACAATCATGCCATTTGTTTCCCTGTATCAACAATTTGTCCGTGATATAAAAAAAAAAGAAGGTTGCTAAAATGTAATTTGCAAATGTGGTGTGACCTACATATGAAATCTGTTGGACACGAATATAAGAGCATAACAGCTGATTATCCAGATTAATCTTGCAACAAGGGAAATAGCCAAATAATGCAAGTTATTTTAAACATTGTATCTTTACTTAATCGAATCTTGCTAGTTACAGATCGTATGTTTACAGTAACATCCTTTACTTTAAATGATGGTTTAGCATTAGAAGGGTTTGTGACATGTTTATTAACCCAGCCACTACTGGTTATTCATTTTAGTTACAGGGTGGTATAATTGTTATAGTCTAATTAATATAAATGATAGTACCGCAATAGTTAATGTTTTATCCAAAGACATATAGGAACTTTACTTAACTTACTATTAACCATTATTTATAATGATAGACATGTTCAGACTGCAAAAAGCTATGGCTAATGACATAGAAAGGGGTTTGAGTCAGTAACACAGCCCATACTGAGGAGAGCAAACCCGCTGATGCTTAATGCCCCTGCCATGGCAGTGTCTACAGGGGGGCCACTAGCCACTGTAACTTTACCTATTGAAGGTCACCCTACTGCTTTCCTGGTTTCCTGGTTAACACAGGTGCATCCCGCAGTGTTCCTAGAGAACAAGACCTGCCTGACTCATCGTTCCTGCCTGACACCGATGTCTCTTGTGTTGGTGCTGATGTCCTATCCTGCCTCCAAGCATCCATCACCCTCACTGCAGACGGCCAGGTTCAATTAAATACGCCTTTGCCACGAAAAGACACTACAGTTCTTTGTTCCCTTCCCATTTTACTGTGGAGATGATCTACCCACAACAGAACAATGCTCATTAATCTTCTTTGCTACCTAGCAGAACAAGGATGTAAAGCTTCACGTCCCAAGCTGCAATATTGCCAATCTACTGTTATCTTCCTTGGCCATTGTCTGTCTCAGGGAACCAGACATCTCACTCGTGACCGAGTTAGAGCAGTACTGGACATTCCACCTCCAAGGACCTCAAAGTCACTACACGCCTTCCTAGGCCTCATTTCCTATTGCCGAGCATGGATCCCAGAAGCCTCGCTCCTTATGCAACCTCTTTATGATGCTCTCAAGTCAGACCCATTTTGCTTGTCCACAGAAGCCCTTGACAACTTCTGTTCTCTCAAACGTGCTATTGCTTCTGCTCCTGCTCTTGGCCTACCAGACTATACCAAACCCTTCAAATTGTTTGTTTCTGAAAGACAAGGCCATGCAACAGGAGTACTCACTCAGGCCCATGGTCCTGGAGGCCGCCAAAGGCCTATTGGATTTTTCTCCTGCCAACTGGATATTGTGGCCAGAGGACGTCCCTCTTGCCTTCGGGCCGTCTTTGCTGCCAGAGAGCTCATTGAAAGAACTGGGGATCTTGTCCTTGGCCACCCCCTGGTTGTCTTGGCCCCTCATGACATTTCTGCCATAGTCAACCAGGTCCAACTTAAGCATGTTACTCCTGCTAGGCATCTTCGCCTTCAATGTCATCTTTTGTTGCCTGACAACATTACCCTCCAAAGATGTCAAGTTCTCAATCCGTCCACTCTTCTGCCACTCCCTGAGGGGGGTGTATACTACGGATTCATCATGGACGAAACTTATGTTTTTCTTCTCACTGGCACCATCAAGAAGGAAATGCATCCCAACCTATCCTTTCATGATGGACAAGCACTCCTTCATGACGGAGCAGGATATGCCTTCTGTACCATGTGGTACAAACCAAACATCACTCCTGAACCCTGCTATGAAGATGAACTCTATAATCTGGTCGAAGTAAAACTCACTGCACAAGACTTCTACTGTGATTCTGAAGGCAACAGTATGGTCTTGATTCATCTACCTCCGGAACTCAAGCATTTGTACCGTCATTGGGACACTGCCATTCCACATGTCCCTGTGACCAAGTTGAAAACAATATCATGGAATGATCTTGGGCCTATGGCAAAAGCATGGGCCACTATGGACGAATCACAGCTACAGGAAAATGGTGTTGTCAAATATCCAACAACTGACCACCTAAAAGCATGGCCACATCATTTCCTGGAAAATGAGTTCCAAGATTTAACCATAGTAAATGACTACGACCCAAATACACCTCATGACTGTTTTGAACAGATGAAAATGGAAACAACACATCTACCAACTGTGCATGAAGACCCATTGGTAGATCCCGATCTCACCCTGTTTGTGGACGGCTCAAGATATGCTGATGAAGAAGGAAGATACCATACAGGATATGCCGTAACCACAACAGATGAAATTGTCAAATCATCATCTTTACCATCAACTATGTCTGCACAAGAAGCTGAATTGCAAGCCCTGACTTCAGCATGCAAGATCTCTGAAGGAAAGCGCGCCAATATCTACACGGATTCAAGATATGCACTGGGCGTGGCTCACGACTTCGGATTAATTTGGAAAACAAGAGGATTTCTTACTACCGCCGGTACACCAATCAAGCACGGTTCCGCAATCAAGGAGCTGATGGACGCCCTCCTACTCCCAGAAGAAGTGGCCATTCTGAAGGTAAAGGCACATGGGAAGTTGGACTCAGATGAAGCAAAGGGCAACCATCTAGCTGATCAGGCTGCAAAACAAGCTGCAAGAAAACCACAGGAAGTGGGAAGAAGAGTGTCCGGAAATGAAGAAACTCCCATATTTACTCTGCAGACTCTTCCAACTGACCTGAAAATCCTGCGGAACAACAGGCTACAGTTGCCCCTGAAGAAATACAGAAGTGGAAACAGAAAGGGGCAGTTCTGAAGGATGGAGTGTACTCCAACAACCTCAATTTCTGCCTCCCTAAGAATTTGTACCCAGCAGTCGTACAATGGGCACACAGACCTGCACATTTATCAAAAGATCTAATGAATGCTCTTGTACAAAAATACTACCTCATTGTCCCCATACAAGATTCTATTTGGGACTGCACCTAGGCTAGGTTGCTATTTTCCCCAACAACTGCAACTTCAAACTGATGTTTTAGTAGATTATGTAACTGAACTCGCAAATGCTTTGAACAAAATCCATGCCCAAGTTTTCTCTTCAATTCCAGATCCTGATTCTGACACAGGCAACCACAGTCTGCTCCCCGGTGACTGGGTTCTGGTCAAGAAATTTGTGCGAAAACACACCCTGGAACCAAGATTTGACGGACCGTTCCAAGTTCTCCTGATCTCCCCTACCTCTGTCAAATTGGCCGGAAGGCCTAACTGGATCCACGCTTCCCACTGCAAGAAGACACCTGCCCCAGAGGAAGCTAACTCTATGCAACCATGTGCCTCTGGTACATTATCTCCTTAGTTGGCCTCCTTAAAGCCCAGCAGGTGGCCATCACCAAAGATGCTAGTGGGTACACTTTCTGGTATAATTCATCATGTACCCATGTGGCTACATTCACTTTTGATTACTGTGATATTGTAGAGTGCCCATTCCCTAAGTCACAGATTCAAGCCATTTATAAAGATATACCACAAGCAAAAGACCCTTACGTTTGTGTAGTAGATGAACAATGGGGTTATGACTGTAACTACTGGGGGTCTGCGGGATGGAATACTGGGCCTGCCTGGGGTTATAAACCCAAAAGTGCTTTATCTAAGATAGACAATCAGGGTAGATCCCTCCTTCAAAGAATGACTTTAAGAAAGCCTGGAGGAAGTACCCCTATGAAATTAATGTTAAATATTGAACATCCTGGCCCCGAGGATGCAGACCGATATGTAATGGGAATGTATTGGAAGAAAGGTTCCTACAACAAATTAGGTCATTTCTACCTCAGAGATATGTACCACTCTCCAGAGTGGCAAGGGGCTGATCATATGGTCCCAAATCCGCTAAAACCACATATCCAGTCCTTTAAAGATATGATGGTCATCGCTAACCCCACTTTTGAAGATACCATGGCCGCTGAAACTGGATTCAATGACATTAATTTGTGGTTAGAATGGATGAGGTATAATGCTAACAAACATAATAAAACAGCATGTTATGTATGTGGCGGTGCCCGACCCCACCTTGGCACCGTCCCCCTAACTCTCCCTTTAGAGATAGAAGATTGCTTCTTAAGCCTTTTGCCTACCAATATGACTTTAATAGGTCCCTCTGCATGGCATGGACGGCAGAATACCCTCTCTTAGTTGAAAATGTTAAGCCACCAGATGGAATCACAGTCTATAGAGGTAATTACACTTGTTATGCCATGTATGACGGGATTGGTAAATTCATGGGTAACTTTTCTAAAGGTTATTGCGCCACTTACAGAACTGTTCCTATACGCCTGTTGCAACACCATACCAGGTCATTGGGGGATATTTACTGGTTATGTGGGGATCTACAGTTAAGATCTAGGCTGGAAACTGAGTGGTGGGGTGAGTGTACCCTGGCCAAAGTTATCATGCCCATTCATATTATTTCTGATAATCATCATGACACATACGACCCTCCACATACATCAGCCAGAGTAAGGCGCGAAACCCCAGTAAAAGGCAGTTTTGACCCCCACATTTACATAGATGCCATTGGGGTGCCTAGGGGGGTACCTAATGAATTTAAAGCTAGAGATGAAGTAGCTGTAGGTTTTGAATCACTTTTTACCATAGTCACTGCCAACAAAAACCTTAATTGGATTAATTATATCTATTACAACCAACAGCGCTTCGTGAACTACACCAGGGATGCCCTCCAGGGCTTGGCCGAGCAATTACAGGCCACATCCCAAATGACCTTCCAGAACAGACTGGCCTTAGACATGATCTTAGCCGAAAAAGGGGGAGTCTGTAAAATACTTCCCGACACTATGACTTGTTGCACTTACATTCCAGAAAACACAGGTCCTAAGGGTAAAGTCACTCTGGCCATAGCTAAATTAAATAGACTCTCAGAAGAGTTAAAGAGAAACTCTGGAGTTACTGATCCCTGGGAAAAATGGTTTGGTTGGATGACTGGTTGGCAGAGAGCTTTAGTCCAGATTGGTATTGCTTTACTAATTTTTCTTTTTATTCTCGCTCTTCTCATTTGTTGTGTCCTCCCATGCCTAAGGAAATTCCTGCAGAAAACTGTAGACCAAGCAACACCAACCTTCACTCATCTGACAATCGATGATCAAGACCTCATCTCACCCTGTATTCCGCTACAAACTCTCCCGTATACTGATGAAGTGCAGAAAGTCTAGGAAGGGACAGTACAGGGACAGCGTCCGTCTTTATGGGTGGACTGCCGTACGGAGAAGTAGTGGATAAGCCACTATGGGTTACCAGCGGAGTGAAGAGTGTTCCTGAACCGTACTGACGGATGTGCTGCAGCCTGTTAGGGTCAAGAGAGGGATAGACTTGCACTTTGCATTAACACTAAGTCAGCGGTCATGGGGTTTCTGTGTCTTTGGGCTAACACATCTTCTGATACTAACAAATAAAGTTTTGTCTTTTAGCAAATAACATTTTAAGGGGGGCCTGTTGTAGAATTATTAGGCCTCTATAAATCTGTAAGGCCCCTTTAAATCCTCTTGCTATACCTCTAAGAGGCCCCATAGTTTTACAAGAAAGCTTTGTCTATAGAACATAGAATTTGCATGTCAGCAAGAAATAGCTTTGATAAAATGTGTATTTACTAAAAGCCTTGAAACCTAACCTTGAGAAACTAACCATGCCAGCTACACTCTAAATGGATGGCTGCCAAAGCACCCCTCCCATCGAGTGAACACCTCGTGCTAACAAGATGGCGCCTACATCTTGTGTCCACTCCCGTGTCAAGGATGACATCACCTCTTGATAGGAGGGTATCTAACTAACCACTTAACACCTGGACCAATCAATAGTGTCTATTTGCTGTTATCTTGATTTTCTTCAATGATGTAATAATGCCTTTAAAAGGGTCTGCGCACCCATTTTCTGTCAGAAGCCATTAAACTTCTCCGGAGTTCTTTCATTAACCTGAACTTTGTGTCTCAGTGTGAATTTACTTCTGCGTGCACGCAACTTTATTATCTTTAATTTGGACAGGAACAGATAGTCATTCAAACTAATTGGTTTGCAGTAAATTATCTACAACAGCACAACTTGAAAATTAGCAAGCACAACAGTTGGAAACACTTATTACCCTTCTACTTATCTGTATCATACTACAATGTTTTATTTCTAGCATTTCTGCTAATCATATGATTGAATGCTGATTTTGTTTATCTTCTAATTTGTTTATATGAGATGTTAACAATGGAAATATTTAATAAATACTGAAAATATTACAATATTTTATACTATATCAACATGTTTCTAGGAGAAGCATGACCTAATTTATATTCATTTTGCTCAGCAGCTTTTTAAAGCCATTTTGAATGTTTTCTTTGAAGAACCTGTGACCTGAGTACATCTAAACCTTTCATTTAGCGTTAAATCTCATCACAAACTCATATTATGATATATGTGTTCATATATAATTTTATTGATAACATTCACAATTCTTATGACATCTTGTATGCTCCTGTTAATGCTGGAAACTTGGACTATATCCTGTGGTTGAAAGCATGTACCATTATAAACAGTGACATCATCATGAATAAATTATTTTTTTCTGTAATTCCATCTTTAACACCTGCTTGAGTATGGGAGTAGAAATACACAATGGCTACAGAGGTTGATTATATGATAGTTAAATACATTATTTTATTTTAACTACAATACTTGGACATAACAGAGTGTTCTTAGAAAAGTTTAACAGAAAAATTGCAGGCTTGCCGTGTGACGTACAAAATATGTATCTCAGAAAACACAGTTGTTTTATTAGTTATATACAAAAGACACTAAAATAAGATCTGCAAAAAATAAAAATCTTCTTTTTTTCCATTTTGTTTTTAAAGCTCCCAAATTATCTGTCAAAAGAGAAAAATGAAAGTACAGTTAATATAATGTAGAAGAATGACTACTTGATGTTAATGAATGCAAATTCTTCTTTGCTATATTGTAAGACTTTACATTTTTAAAACAGCAATTGCCATGCAGGACCTCTCAGGACCACACGCACTACTTGACCACTAGTATTGGATGAATGTATTTCAAGATTCTTAGGTCATTCTAGTCAAGTAATCTGTTTAAAAGAACACTCCACTGGATTCAGCACATGAGTGCCCCAATGTTTTTTGTGGGTACAACTACAAAATTGCTAAAGCATGGAATAGGCCCGTTGATTATTTTTTTTTTTATTTGCTACTCTTCACAAGCTCTTGCTTTGTGAAGAGGGAATTAAGTATGGGAACTTAGGAGGAATGTAATGGACAGAGAAAAAGGTGGTTAATAGTGAGTTTTAAATGTGTGTGTATTAGCAGACTATAAATGAATTAAGATAAAGTTGACTTTGTATACTGTGCAATTCTCTTTCTTATTTAACAGTGTGGCATGTCCCCATAATTCTACAATCACTACATCCACCTTTTTCTCTGTAACAGGCTGCATAGCAGGAGCTTTTGCCTGCTAGTAAGAAGGGAAAAAGATTAGTGGACAAGTAAGTGCTTTGGGGCATACGGGAACTGTATGGCAGAGACTAGCATAAGGTATGTGTATTCTTAGAACTGCATTGTGTGAGTTTTCTCTAGCACCACCTCCACCAGATACATGATACTTGGGAGGTACAGTTGTGCTCAAAAGTTTGCATACCCTTGAAGAATTGGTAATAAATGTACAATTCTTAAAGAAAACATGAGTGAGCAGGCAAAACACATTTATTTTATTTCTTATGAGATTCATATTCAGTTGTAGGTTACAACAGAATGGCACAATTTATAAAAAAAAAAAAAAAACATGGCAACAAAGAAAAAAAATTATTTTCAAAAGTCTGCATACCCTTAGGTCTTAATACTGTGTATTTCCCCCTTATGGATCAATTATAGCATGCAGTCTTTTGTAATAGTTGTCTATGAGACCCCCTAATTCTTGCAGGTGGTATCGCTGCCCATTCATCTTGGCAAAATGCCTCCAGGTCATGCAAAGTCTTGCATGAACCGCACGTTTGAGATCTCCCCAGAGTGGCTCTATGATATAAAGGTCAGGAGACTGTGATGGCCATCCAGAACCTTCACATTTTTCTGCCATAACAACTGGAGAGTCAACTTGGCCTCGTGATTTGGGTCATTGTCATGCTAGAAAGTCCAAGAGCGTCCCATGCACAGACTTTGTGCATAAGAATGCAAATTTTCTGCCAGTATTTTCTGAAAGCATGCTGCATTCATCTTGCCATTAATTTTTACAAGATTCCCCATGCCTTCAGAGCTCACCACCCCCCAAAACATGAGTGAGCCACCACCATGCTTCGCAGTGGGAATGGTATTCTTTTTACTATAGGCCTTGTTGACCCCTCTCCAAACATAGCGCTTATGGTGGTGACCATAAAGATCTATTTTGGGTTCATCACTCCAAATTACAGTGTGACAAAAGCTGTGTGTCAAGGTGTTGTCGGGCATATTATAACTAGACTTTTTTGTGGCATTGGCGCAATTTGACCATGCAGCTTTTTTTTGCTCAAGTATCGTCGTACTGTGCTCCTTGAAATGACCACACCATCTTTTTCCAGAACATCCTGTATTTTCTCCTAAGGTTACCTGTGGATTTTTCTTTGTATCTCTTTGTATCTCGAACAATTGTTCTGGCAGTCGTGGCTGAAATCTTTCTTGGTCTACCTGACCTTGGCTTGGTATCAAGAGATGCCTGAATATTCCACTTCTTAATAAGTCATTGAACAGTACTTTTATATCCTTTTCCATCTTTATACAGTTCCATTACCTTGTTACACAGGTCTTTTGACAGATCTTTTCTGCTCCCCCTGGCTCAGTATCTAGCCTGCTCAGTGCATCCATGTGAGAGCTAACAAACTCATTGACTATTTATACACAGACACAGAATGCAATTTAAAAAGTCACATGATTGGGAAATTGACCTTTAATTTACATTTTACCTCTGAGTGTCACCTTGTGTGTCTGTAACAAGGTCAAACATTCAAGGGTATGTAAACTTTTGATCAGGACCATTTGGGTGATTTCTTTTATCATTATGATTTAAAAAACTATGTGATAAAAAATGGCTTCATATGGTCACTATCCTTTAATAAAAGATTATTTTGTTTTGCATGTCCAGTCATATTTTCAAAATCAATGCCACATTTCACATTTTCTGCCAGGGTATGCAAATGTGTGAGCACAACTGTGAAACTGTAGTGTTTTCTGTCACTAAAATTCTGTAATTAGGCCCATCATAATTTTCAGCATTTGGCCAAATGGACTTTTAGTCCAGCCCTGGTAAACTAGTGTGAGATTGTGATAATATTTTTTAAAACATTGGCGTTGTGGCAGGCTTATGCAATGTATGATCATATACTGTAACTAAACCCCCATAATTTTTTGCCTAGATTTGGTGTTTTTAATAAAACTAAAAATTGTTCAGCACTAAAATGACTGTTTAGTAGATAAGCGAGTGCGCTGGATTTTCATTTTTACAAAAAATTTTAAAAAGACATACTGTGATGTTTGAAGAAATTCTGCTTACCTTATCCAGACCAAATTCTTTGAGTTGATATTATGTTAAATATTATCCCTTTGATAACCAGACATCTTAATCCAAAAACTTCAAAGGACACTGTGTTTAGTCTCTCATCTGTTACAAAACAGCATAAATTATAGATCGTCTGCAAGCTCATAACAGCATTTTAATTTAGTATGTCTTCCTAAATGTATATAGCATTGATCATTTAAAACATGTAACGGAAATGGTTTGCTAAACTTTGCATTTAATGCATACCACACACAGCCATCAGAGTGAAACGCTCAGCAATATATTTAACTGCCATGTAGTGCACATACTCAAGTGTGTGTTTCTGTCCAGTGGTGGATATCTGTAGTGGAAGTTGTTTATTAATGATACGCTACAAAAATGTAGCAACAATGTTGTAAACCTGGTTGTAATTTGTAGCCTTTACGTGTTACTGGCTGTTGTTATAGTGTCAGCTTGCAAAAAAGTCCTAAATTACCACTAAAAAAGAAAGACTCAGTTGTGCCAAAGCTTATTGGTATGAATGTTTATGGTCTGAAGTAGACTTGTAAAATTGTAATTCGCCTAATTTTTGGGCAATTGGCAACATGTCCAAACTTCATAAACTCTGAGGTGGCATATGGATGAATCATTAAATGAACAACATTGAGAATTGACAAACTGTTTTGTTTGTTTAATGATTCAGAGTTCTGCCTGTGGAACCAAACTGTGGTGGAGCTAAATGTTGATTTTATTCACAGATCAAGTGATGAGTGACCAGTAGAGAGTAAAAAAGGAGGAGCAGTAAAAAAATTATCTATATGTATGAACTATATACTTAATAAAGAAAACAATATATACATGTGTGTTTTTTTGAGTAGACTTCAAAGAAATAAGGCCAAGCATTATACTTTTTAAATCAGAAAAAAATATTACAGATAATATTTCTGATAATTTTATTGTTAAAAAATAATTCTAAATGCTTTCAATAATGAGTTTTATATGAGAAGTGATTACCAACACTAAAGTACCAAACTCTATCAAAGTATTAAAGTACAGTAGAACCTTCAGCCATATGTGTATGGTTATACAGGTTATAATTTTTCTTAATTACAGTCTATAGTATGTGATTGAAACCAACTCATGAGTTTAGACTGGAAGAAAGAAGATTTTGTCTAAGGCAAAGGAAAGGTTTTTTAACTGTAAGAACAATCAGGATGTGGAATTCTCTGCCTGAGGAAGTGGTTTTATCAGAGTCCATACAGATGTTCAAACGGCTACTAGATGCATACTTGCAAGAACAGAATATTCAAGGATATAATCTTTCAATGTAGGGTAATAACTGCTTGATCAAAGGATAAATCTGACTGCCATTCTGGGGTCAAGAAGGAATTTTTTTCCTAGTTTGTTGCAAAATTGTGCTTCAAACTGGGTTTTTTTGCCTTCTTTTGGATCAACAGCAAAAAACAAATGTGAGGTAGGCTGAACTTGATGGACGCAAGTCTCTTTTCAGCTATGTAACTATGTAACTATCTAACTATGTAACTTTTAAGAATTGTAACTCACCTGTTTCAAAAGTTGATGAAGATGAGTCGCATGTGTTAGAATAAATGCCTGAAAAAAATAATGCATTTTGTTTTACATAATATAAAGATTCCTTATCTTAATTCAAAATATAGATTGAGTTTTAATTATTTTAACAGTGCAGTTAACATGTCAATCTATGACATAGAAATTGCAGATCTGACAGTGTCTTTTAAAAAAATAAAATGTATTATATACCTGGGAATTCTTCTGCAGTTTTGGTTCCATGTTCAATCTTGCATTCGTTTGCTGACATG